GTATACTAAGGCAAATACAGAGTTTCTAATGTGTGCATATTCTCTGTTTTATTTTATTTCAGCTCCATGGGTGCTCCATTTTCACTGGGAAATTCCAGCAGTACTGGAAACTCAGTAGCGAGCACTCCAGCCATTCCTTACAGACTTAGTATCGGAGAATTTCTCACCAACAGAAGAGACTCAACTACAACTTTCAGCAGCACAAGCAGTCTGGCCAAGCTTCTGCAAGAACGAGGCATCTCTGCCAAGGTTTATGACAGCCCCATATTGGAAAAACTGCCTTTGCTACAACCCCCTCGAACTCTTCCCGTTCCCTCCACTCCACCAAATTCTCCCTCGCGCTCGCCTTGTCCTTCCCCTCCACTGTTTGAGCCTCGAGTGCATCACTCTGAAAATTTCCTGGCTTCTCGACCAGCAGAAACGTTCTTGCAGGACATGTACGGCCTCAAGCCCTCCCGGAACGCTCCAGACATAGGCCAGCTGAAGATGAGCCTGGTGGACAGACTGAAGAGGCTGGGCATCGCCAGGGTGATCAAGCCCCCCGAAACACAGGACCGTGGCAAAACCCAAGGGCCAGAGGTTGGTTTGCAGAGGCAGGACTCGGCTGGGTTTTTAAATGCAGGCAGCAGCAGCTTAATGGTAGGACTGAGAAGAAACCAGAGTCTTCCAGCCATGATTGGAGCACTGGGAGCTCCAGCTTGCACACAGTCATCAAAAATGGGTATCCTAAAGGAAGACTAACTGGCTTGGAAAATGTTTGACTTAGAGCATAGTAAATAATATGAGGGATGAACATCCAGTGGAGGCGTCACTAGAAGTGTTACAGAACAGTTGGAGAAGGCACGTGCATGTTAGAGATGTGGGAGGGACAAGTGTTGGGATCAAGGAGCAAAAGAATATTGCTTGGGTTTGAGGAAGAAGGCTTTTGTGGGAGATAAGAAAGAAGAAACCAAAGCTTAACTTTGAGACCCCGTTCAGCATCTGTCTTAACTGAAGCAAAAGTAAAAGACTATTGTAGACATTCTCATTTTAACCCTTTAAACTGTATGTGTAGGACTGTCTTGCAGGTGTCCTACTTTTTTCCAGCATATGACCTTTAGTATTTTACTAGTTGTTAGCAGTCAGGCTATATCATTTAAATATATTATTAAAATAACCATCAGTCTGATCAGCATTATTGATCCAAATTCCTCTCTGTAGCAAACAAATTTGAAAACTTCTTTTCTTCTTGTATTTACCATTTCAGAAACTGTGCTCTTTTGAATTCCTCCCCACTTGGAGAAGCAGGGGAGAGAATATGTAGCTCTGTGTTAGAAAAGAATACTTCAGTTTACAAACACAGAAAGCGGTGGTCAGGATTTATATTTTGAAATAGTGCAATTGTGCTGGTGAGGTATTGACAGAAGTTGATTTTTTCCCACAGCTTCGGAACGAAGCACACAGAGGAATGTGCAATGAATAAGAATTAAGAAGCAGGAAAGTGTGCGTTGGGGGGAAAACTTCAAGCTAAGAAATCTTTCCAAAGTGTAGTGTGCATCTATTTACATGAGAATATTTTTGCACACACACACACACAAATATCTCAGGCACATTTCAGTGTTGCAAAAGGAAATAAACCCTAGGTGCTTGATTCAGGGTTTCTTTTATTTGGCATATGTGAAGAGCATTTACTTCAAGAAGAGTGTTGGAAGTTCAGTACCCTGCCTCTTCTCTTGGCAAGTAGACATTCTGTACATTTGGGAGTTCTGCAGTAAATTTATGCCTTTCATTCACTTATTTCTGACTTTAGGCAGGATTTGTTTAAAAGATTTCATTAAGAGCAAAATTTGCCAATCTGTATTTAGAAATGGGAAGAAAAAACCTGGTGCTCTTTGAGGCATTTTAATGAACATTGTAATCCAGTGTTTTGACTGATGAAGTGTGGTTCTGAACATAACTGAGGCAGACTTTCCAACTCAAAAGAGAACTCCATTTTAGAAATCTGAGTGGTAATCATCAAAATACTATGCCCATGTTGCTTTTCTGTTTCCTTCCTGTCCAAGGTTCTAGTCATAACTGAACAATCTACAGGAGGTCTTAAAGAAGCAAAAGTTAGCCCGAAATTGCTCGGAGGAATGGGTCTTTGCCAGTGACCTGAAGGGAAACAGTTTCTTAGTCTTCATGTAGATTTTCAGTGTACCTGTCAACATTATAAAATTATTTTAGTTTCCATACCATTAGATCAAACAGTTAAGTTCACCCTGCCTGTATGTGGACGTGGGACATGACTGGGAGCTGTTGGAGTGTGTGGTGTGAAGAATCAGTGCAATTACACTGATTGGCATTCGCTGTAAGGCACAGCCACCATAACCAGCACCCTGGTTGCTGCAGGGTTGGGTGGAGTAGGGCAGGAAAAGAAAGCTTCTTAACTTTCTTTATAGGAAATTTGTAACGTGGCCTTTCTGCTTTTACAGTTCTATAGGTCTTGTGATGACTCTTTGATAAAAGTCTTTGGGCTTTTTTTGTAAAAGGAAAAGGAGTAACCACTTCAAACTTGCACAGGGATTCTGAGCAGGAACTTGTCTGTCAGCAGCGCACAGAAATATTCAGGAACTCCTGGAGTTGCCTTTTGCTCTTTAAGCAAAATCTTCCACTTAAAAAAGGTGAATTTTATTTGAAAGACTATACGGGTTCATTTTGTTTTTTAAATGAAAAGTATTTAATTTTTTCCTGTAAGTATTTATGTGTGTGCGTACTTAGCCGTGTCTTGCCTAGCTACGTGAGGTGAGAGGGAAAGGAGGGGGTGCTATTTTGGTCTCCAGTGAACTGAGACAGGTGTGTCTGCTGTGTGTCTGGAACTTGCAGGGAAACGATGAGTTAATGAGAGATCAGACAGTTTGGTATCACCAGAGAAGTTGTGTAGCCTGTCCAAGTATGTCCCTTTTGTGTGTTTAGGTAGGAATACATGTGAGTTACAGAAGGTGTTAACGCTGTGTTTCTAACTGGCTTCCTTAGCTAACAACTCCAGCCATTGGATCATCTGTGTGTCAGCAGAGTAGCAAAGCAGCTAAAGCAGAATTCCTCTAATCTAAAAGCATATAAATTAAATGCATGTTTCTTTTTGGGATGCCGCCATATTCCATAGCCCAGCAATATAAAGTGGTTCGGTTCAAACCGTGCTATGGATGTCGAGAGGTTGGTTGCTTTGTTTTCTGTAGGATGAGATTTATCATCAGATGCTTTACATAAGGCAAAAAGGAAATGGAAGAACCTGTATACCATTGTGTTTGTGTGTTTATCCAGTTGGTCAATGCTGTGGTGCATTTGTTGAAATTTTGTCATGCAGTTTGTACCTTTGGATGGTCATGCACATTTTGTGATACGTCCCCTAACTTGCAGCAACAGAGAAAATTCATACTTCTCCTAAGTTTACCATTTTGTGCCAAAACCTAGAAGATAAACTTTTTTCTAATAACATGTGTTTCTGAAAACATTTTAGAAGTTGCCATCATTCTAGGACCTGATTTGGCTTCTGTTGTCTCTTGTAAGAGAGGTGACAAACTTGCATGACTAAAAGAGCCAAGAACCTGCACCAGACCTTTTGTTTGAGTGGGAGGTAAAGCTGGAAGGAATGGAGAACTGCATTTCAGCAGGGTTCTGTTATCCTGCAGGTTTGAGTCAAAAACAGATGCTAGAAAGGACTTACCCATGCTTGTGAAAGTTACAAGAGACAGAAGGAAATTCTTGTTGCATTTACCTGTATTCCGACTGTCTGAAAGCACAGACTCAAAGCTTTCTAGTTTCACTGTTTGTTTTTGATAAACTCAGTGATACCTGCATGCTCAAAATGCCTGTGCTCAAAGTTTCATGTCTACTGCAGTCAAACAGCAGCAGAGAAGGAAGGAGAATAATTGGGTTTGGGCTTCATTTGGCTGTTACGTGAGGGGATTACACACAATGTTGAATGGTCTGGGATTTTCGTGGTATTTTTTCATCTGCTTTTTGCACTTACTGTTGTTTCATAGTGGAATGTAAATTTGATAATAAACATGTATAACATGCCATTTTTTCAGTATTTGGGTCATCGTCTGTGGTTTGTTCCAGATGTCATCCTGTATACTACTGTGTTCTATAACAAGCCTAAAATTGGGCTTTTGTTGGCTAAAATTTAGTGATTATTACATACAAGCCCAGTTAGTTGAGAAGTGGTGGCTTTAGAAACCAAGAGACCGATTTAAAAAGTGGGATCAGGATGTGCTGGGCTGTTGTTTATACCTGCAGGTGACAGATGTGCACTACAAGTTGTGGTCTGACTTTGCATAGTAAATATGTGAAAAGAGAAAAACTTCTCAAATGAAGAATAACTCATCAACCTCTAAACAATATTTGAATGTTGAGCCTCATTTTAAATGAATCTGTTTGTTTTCTGGTATTTTGGGATTTTTGTTGGTGTGGGTGTGGTGCTTTGGGTTTTTCCCCTCCCTTATTTTACAGCAGCTCTGTTCCTCTAGGATTATAGTGTTAAGCACTATGGTGTTGTCTAACACTACGACCATGGTGGTTTTTTCATCTCAGTAGCTGCTAAGTCAGCCCTATATATTTGTGATAAAATGGGGGTAGAGATTGAAACTGTTCCGTGTGCATGCTTACCACAGGAGGCAATATAACATGTTTTAAGGAGCCAGGTACTTACCCAATGACTTTTTCTGTGCTTAGAACTAAGACTTGAAGATCAGTAAGGTAAGTGAATACAGCATAACTGGACATCTTCAGACATGAAGCTGGACCAGAGCACCTGATCTTCACCAGAGAGGGGAAGCTTCTGGCAGCTTCTAACAGGAGCCACCCCTGCAGCTCCCCTCCTACCAAAACCTGGCCACAGAAACCCAATACACAGACACATCCTGCTGAGGATGCTGGAGGACAAATGCTTGACTTTACCCTGAGGTGTACTAAGCCACTAAGAAGGAACGATTTTAAGTGATGGGGAGAAGTAAAAAGACCACACTGATATGAGCTGATTATATCCTATAAAATTTGCAGCACTCTCTCCTTTATTTTGCGAAAGTTAGTTAGGCATAAAGTATACAAGGTTTCATAACAGTTGTCTTTTAAAATCTGCCTATTGGAGAACAGCTCAGAAATGCTCTCCAGGATAAAGTGTCACATATACTAATGGAAATTCCTTAAGGCTTTTTCTCCTCAGCTGTATTTTCAGTAATAGTATCTGCTGTTGTAGTAAGAGCAGACACACTGAAAGTCTTGTTATACTAAATTCTTAGCTGACACAGCTGATTCCAGAATGCTGCAGCTCCCTCTGGCACGTAGTTGTCTCCCATTTAGTTAACAGGAAAGATGAGCTTTTTCTTTAATGTGAAAATTGGCTGTGGCATCTGCTTCTCTGCATTCCGCTCACCAGTTTTTCTGCTCACTTCTCGATTCACTGCTGTCAGGATGCTGACAACACTTTCTCCTCTGCAAAGACACAAGTACATTTTGTATTAGGGAGGCAGTTCACAGAAAAAATACCACATTTTTATCTGTCTCAATCTACACCAGTGCTAATGGCTCCTGTTTCAAACAGGCTCCATAGCAGTCAGCTAAGCTGCTTTGAACAGTCTGCGTGGTGTTGCTCTGTCCTACGGTACTGTTTTCACTCTGAGTGAGCACTCCCACTGCATCTCATCTATCTCTGCATACAATTAAAACCCCTGTCATTCAGAAGGAAAATACGGGTGTTGCCAAAAATAAGCTTATGGAAAGGTAGGTACCGAGGACAGCGGGACTCCAAGTGCTGGCACAACGCCTGGATGTACCAGGTCCCCTCCCTTGGACTTCTGTAGGAGACGTAATCCTGCAGGGTGGCCATGCCCAGGAGGAAATCGGCCTCTGCAGGGATGCAGTCGAGCTGAAATCTCACATCTCTTTCCACAGACGCGTCTTGCTCTGCAGAATCTGCTTCAATGGTCACGCCTTTATGGAAAGCGTTGCCTTGGCAGGCCTGGATAAAAAAGACTTTTGGTTTTCCAGCAAGTGAGGGGCAGTTCTGCACAGTGAAAGAAGTGGTCAGCTCCCGGATCGCTACCTCCTGCCCATCAACACCGTATATAATGCCCTTTTTCCCGTGAGACAGGATACAGCAAACAAAACAGTCCTTGTCCTCGTGGTCCTCACAGCGGAAGATGTTCACAGTGTTGCGGATTTCATCTGCAGTGAGGTCTTTGTATTCTTCTATTCTAAAATGAAGCTTGCTAAAGACATTTCTCAGAGCAGCTGGAAAGTAAACAGAAGGGAAATTGGAGATATTTCATTATATGAAAGTTGGACTCCACAATAGCAAATTGTATTTTTTTTTTTTTTTCCAGATCCTGCCACCTGACTACATCCAGGTAGTTACACTGCTGGTCTGAAAATGAACTAGTAGTCTAATCACTAATCATCTCTCTACTGAGTTCCCTTAATTGTCATTAGAAGGCATACTTGCAGTCTTGCCTCCATCTGGAAAGCATGTAGAACTATTAAGAAAGCTGTATCTCTTTCCCCCACCCACTTTACAGCTAGTCCTTTTGTCTCTCAAAAGGTGTTGGACAGTGCAGTTGCTTTACCCAAGAGGACAGCACTACCCATCTGGGAGATACCCCCGTCACAGGAAGAAAAACTTTGGCTCTGACTCGTGAATTAATTTGGAGTTCAGTTCAATCAGAGAAGGCTCATTGATGGATTTTATCTCTTGGCATAGACAGTGCAAATACACTGATCTCAAGATCCTAGGACGTGCCACGAGCTCTGCTGCTGCAGGACAGCCTGCTAAAATCAGGGCACTCTGAATACCAACATCCTCCCTCCTTTTTTATTTTATTTTTTTAAAGCTGGATGTTAAATAATGCCCAAGTGTCATTCAGCAGCAGATCTGTTTCCAGTTCTGCATGTTTTAAAAGTAGTATTCACAAAGCTGATGCAAAGACAGCCTCGCTTGTAAAGTCCAGGCTCAGGTTGCTGTTTAAGGTTGCAGTAAACTCAGGAAAACTGCAAAATATTGCAAATTGTTCTGTGTCAGCCAGTAAAAGCTTGAGTTGATTAGGGCTTGTAAGCACAGTAAACAGAGCTGCTGAGCCACTACAACCGAAGTATCCCAGAAAGGGAAGACTGGAATTCAGACCTTTAGTACAGAAAAAGAAACAAGGTTTCTGTTTTTGAAGATTCTCAAACTTGTCTTTAACTTTCACTGTACCTGCATCCACGTCCGTGCCATTCCGGTCCCTCAGGTATTTGTGTTCCGGCACAGCTTCCCTCGCTTTGGCAAAACTGTGATTATTGAGGATGAGGCACACTCCACAGGGTCGGCTGCTCATTTTGTAAGCCCCAAGCTGTTGAAAAGGAAGATGGCTGGTGAAACTACTGCACTTTCCTCCAGGGCTCAGCAGGGTACAGAGCCAGATGCCTTCCTCTCCAGGCAGCTCTCCCTACACAGCTTTGCTCCCAGGAGCTGGCAGTGCGGTGTCCCCCTGCCTTTGGGAGTCTGTGCATGACAGCTCCCTGACCACCACTGTCGTGCTCAGCCCACAGGGCTGCCTTCACCCCCAGCTCTGTGCCAAGCCATCTGCCAACTGCTTATTCCCTGCAGTAATAAACTGGGCCTGCCTTGCTCCCCAACAGATGATTGTGAAGGTGTAACACTGCAGCTGCTGTGACAGCTTCAGGGTAATGGATGGAGAGGAGAGTGGTGCATTCCTCTTTCTAGACTGCACTTTTAACAGTTGGTCTTATAATAACTGTTCACTTCATGCAAGGGTGATCTCTTCAAAGACAAAATGATGATGTTTCTAAGAAACTCTCATACCTGGGAAGAGATATTATAACTGCCAGGAAATTCATGTGCCACAGATAATGCCAGACACCCTTCAGGGCCTCCTGTGCTGCCCCTTTCTTCCTCTGTGATGAGCATCTCTTCTTGACCTGAAAAGCATCTATTATTAGTCCTGTCTGATACCTGTGTGTTACTTCAAGAATAACTAAGGGGGAGAGGCTGTTTTGTTTTACCAAGTAGGTTTAATTCATCTTCAATTCTGTCCCACAGGCTGATGTTAATTTTTTCACAGAGACTCTTCAGCTCGCTTAGGTTGTCTTTTCCCAGAAGCCCCTTCTTCTCCATCTCAATGAAAATGTCGAGCATTGTCTGGGTAATCAGAAAAGGCAGTTTACTCCCAGTGCAGCACGGATGTGCCCTGAGAGCAAAGCTAGAGCACGTGCACCTAAGCTTTAATGTACTGACAGTACACTGGGAGCCAAAGAGTCAGTTCAGCTGACTGGCAGCTCAGCTGAGCCAATTAAACCTAGTTCAACAAAACCTACCAGTACTGTTAAGTAAAAACATAACCTCAAAACAAACTCATTTCACTTCTGCAGCTCAGAGTTGCCAAGATCTGACAAGATCTAACCCAGATCTAATGGTGTATATACAGGAATATATAATACCATTTTGAATACTTTCATTCATTTGACTTCCAGTGGCTATCTTGTGCACTTAAGTGAAACACAAGAATCACTGCAGTGACCATCTTAAGCAATGGCAAAAGGAGTACAACCACACAGGTATGGTGCAGAGATTGCTGTGAAGCAAAAGGGGACAGAAGCTCTTGTCAAACAGTGAGCGGCAGAGCGCAGTGGTCACCCCAAGGATTTATTAAAACAGCTATCACTACATGGTCATAGTCTACCCTCAAAGTTTTCATTATACAGAACAAAGCAGTAAGAACTGCAGGCTGGGACACGATAAGAGCACTGGATCTCCTCCAAGGCTATTTGTAAACTCCAAGCTCACTGGCCTTAGCCTTCTTAAGGATCTACTGCTTAAATCTGTATTTTCTGCACTTGGAAATAAAAAGAACAAAATCATAAAATAATACTCACAGTGGGTGGTTTCATTGATTAAAGCCAGTGAGTGCCCTGAGCTTGGATGTGAACCCTCAGTGCCTGGCACACTGGCTGTGACACTGCTGCAAAGGCCGTGCCCAACACCAGCACAGACAAGTCCCATGTGCCCCCAGGCCCACCCTTTTTCTTGTGGTGTTTTCACCTCAAGAGTGACACCATAAAGAAGAGTGAGACCCATTCCCCCACGGGGAACCCTACTTCCTCTGTAGATTATAATAATCATTTAAAAAAGTATTAAAGAAGTTCTTACGGTCTCAGGCGTTAGCTTGCTTTTTGGCAATGTTCCATCCAAAAGTAATTTGAAAGACATCAGCTCATCTTTGGTGATGTCTTCTGAGAGCTGAAAGAGCAAGTATCTAGAAGGAGAAGCAGAGGGAACTGTTTCATCGCGTTCCCAAGCATGTCCCTGAGCACAACTTAACACTATTGCACCAGTCGGCCCCCAGCACAGCCCGCTGTCCTTCCCTTCTGCTGGGCTGAAATGCCACCTTCCCGTACCTTCCTGCTTTCTCCTGGAAGCCGCTCAGGCGCTGCCGGAGCTCAGCGCGGCGTTCAGAGCGGGACAAGGCTCTGCCCGGCCCTAACCCGCACCACACTCACCTGTAGGGCGGAGCACACTCACCTGTAGGGTGGACCACACTCACCTGTAGGGCGGAGCACACTCACCTGTAGGGCGGAACACACTCACCTGTAGGGCGGCACCCGCGCCCCGCCGGCGCTGGGGACCTGCAGCTCCCGCTCCACCTGCTCCCGGCTGGAGCCCAGGTGGGCAGCCAGGAGGTCGATCCTGCCGATGCGGTACAGCAGCTCCCTGAGGAAGGCCAAGTTCCCCGCCTCCAGCGCGCCCCTCTCCTGCAGCGCTTCGAACAAGTCGTGCGCGCTCCGGGCGGCTTCCAGCCTCCTCCTGGGGACGTGCTCCCGGCTCAGGAACTTCAGCGCCGCCAGCTCGGCCTCGTCCAGCTCCTCGCTGACCGCCAGCAGCTGCCACCGGGGCAGCTCCATGGCCCGCGTTCCTCCGGGGCCGGGCTGGGAGCGCTTCCTGCCCCTCCGGGCTGGGCCGGGCCGGGCCCCGGGGCGGGGAAGCGCCCGCAGGAGGCGGGGCCGGACCCCAGGGCGGCGCTTCCCTCTGGATTTGAACATCCGGAGCGGGGTAGGGCTCCTCGCTCAGAGTTCCCAACACTGTTCTTGAGCCCGTCCTTCAGCACATCGGACCTGCTAGTGCGGATTCAAAGGTCTCCCTCTGCCCGCGCTTTCCCTGCAGTTTCCTCTCGCTGGTTCCCAGGCACTCACAAACCATTGCCCTTTCAATACAAACAGAAAGAAGCTTTTATAATGCCACCGACTCGCCTTCCTCCTTGCGAGCCTTCTGGGGCTGGCTGGCAGAAAAGGCAGCACGTTCCCTGCAGGCGTTGGGCCCCGTACCCTGACAGCCACCAGGGGATCTCACCCTACCAAATGAAAATACTGTGTAGCACCAAATATACCAAATAAGTAAATTTGATATCCAATTCGTCCTCATGTAAAAGAGCTGAAAGAACTTGGTCTGAGTGTATTGAACTCTGACAGAGAGAAATATGAGAAACAGAAATGCTATTGATTCACAACTTCACTTCTGGAGCAGCTACCACCTTTCAGCAAGTTTCTCCCAGAGGGAGCAGTTATTTAATTTAAGCTATATTTCCTTATCATACAGAAACATCCACTAATCTAATCTAAATTCCTATCGGGATTCCCACTGATGAAAACATTATAAAAAATGTAAATAAATTGTAACCAAGTATCAGCCACAGAACCGCATCATAACTAGTAACAGCTTCTTGTAACTTTTGCTGCAGTATCGTTTACTTGTAATGTCTATTTGTTATTTATGAAACCAATGTGAACAGAGCTGTAATTCTAAGAACACAGTCTCTCTTTTACTTGGAAGATGAAAGAGCATAACAGGAGCAAAAGCAACTGCCAACACATTGCATGGAATCAGAAACAAAAAAAATTCACTTCCAGAACTGAAGCAAGTTTGAATAAAGAGCCCTTCCTTTATGGCTAGACATGGATTTCCAAAAAACCCAAACTGAAAGAAGCAGAAGTTACAAAGTGTCTCAAATTCATCCTTTATCTTTTTATAAACTCAAAAGGGATGTAGCTGTTAGAATCCCATACAGCTCCCACGTAATATCTACACATTGCTGAGGATGCAAGGTAAGAGTGGCCTCACTGGCATCAGCTGCCATTATCATGACACTCCTGAACTTATTCTGTCCTACCATCTCTCCAGCTGCTGTTGAAGAGATATCAATCTGCTGCCTCCTGGGGTGGCTGCCACAAAACACTCCAACAAGAGCAAAATGACTTCTGCTGAGGCAAAATAGTGTTTGTCATGTTAACTGTCCCTCAGACAGTCCATCCAACAGAGGCACACACCACAGACTAAGGTGATGTAAAAAACAAGACAATTTATTACAACAGAAACAACAGTACAAAGAATCTCCTTCCAGTGTTCCACAGCCATTCATGACACACTGTCCCCTGAGAGCGCTGAGAAAAAATTCAATTAGAACCCTTACTATTAAAAAGCTTACACCATAATGCTGTTTAGCCAAGTAAATTAATAGCATAAAACAAACTAAATATTTGGAGAAAAAGAACCAAACTTGTATTATCATAATCACGTCTTCTTTGATTCTTCTGGATCAAGATGTTATTTTTCCATGAAAAATTATAACTTCCAAACATAGACAATGATTCAGCTCTGTGTAAGGCAGTTACAACCCTACACATGCTTCCTCACCTGAAACCCAGACCGAACATACTGCACCGTTCTGCAGCACAAAAAGCCAGATCTGTACTCATCCACAGCCTCACCTGACTGCCACAGATCCGGGTGTCGGAAGACTGATTAAATATGGAAATGTTAAAATTTAGGTCCTATGGGTCCTTAAAGGACTGGGGCTAACTCCAGATAACTTCTCATGTGAAGTCTCTTTCCAGTGGAAGCCCACTCCAGATGTGATTCCTAAACTAATTGCATTCTTATTTTTCTACTCTTTAATCGGCTGTCCTTGTGGAATTTCGAAGATCAATTGCTTCCGTAGTGTTGTTATTATCTGTGGCATCTGCTTCTCCAATTTTCCTCCTGGCATCTGATCCCATACTTTAAATTCTTTTCCTCCCACTTCCTCGTTCACCGTTGTCAGGATGGTTAGGAGATCGACGCCCCTTTAACAAAAAGGAAGAAAAATCACATTGAAATACATGTACTGAAAAAAGGTACATTGAAATCCATGGTACTTGCAGCCCAGCCAAAGAGGTGATCCACGTTTGCTCCAATGAAGTGGTATCTCTGGGATGGCTGGAATCCTGCCCCACCCACCCTACCTGTCACTGAAATCGCACACTCCGTTGTATAACCACAGAATTCAGTATGTTTGGGGGAATAAAAGCAACCTCTGTGTTGCATTTACCAGCAAACACAGTCCCCTGCTTTAGTTACAGCCAGAAGAGCGCACCAAGATGAAACAGGGCCAAACCTACACATTCTGCCTGTCTGCTTCTGGACATCAAGAGAAAGTGATGTCTGAAGGGAAATTCTATTTTCTAAATCAAATTTATGAGAGGATGGGAGGAAGGCAACAATGAAAATCATGACTAGAGAACACTGATTATTTTGTCTGTGCAATCACTCAACAAATTCACTTTTATGAAGTGTCACTGGAAGAAAAATCATTTATCAGTCAAAAAATGTTAAAAACCCCACACACACATACACATACTTGTTTCTGTGTAATGCTCCAGCATGGCAACCCTGGTTTTGTCACAGGGGAAGTCGCTCATACTTTGGCTCACCCACAGAAGAGTAACAAATCCCAATTCCCAAATAATTACTATTCTCTGCTGTCCCGCAGGTGAAAAACATTACATAGCAAAAAGGCAAAACGCTGATGTTTCAGCACAGCTTCAGTATGTATGTCTGCAATACCAACAATGAACAAGAATTAAAAACACTACTTACTGAGGGCAGAGCAACTCCATCTTATCACAGAGGCACTGAATGTAAACACTGCCAGACTCAGTCCTGCGGAAGGACAAATAATCTTCCACTGTAGACATGCCAATCAGAATATCAGCCAGATCAGGAATGGAAGTTGGAGGGGTAGCATCTGTCTCAAGATGTCCAGAAAAATCTGCTTCTACTGCAACAGCTGGATGTCCAACAGAGCCTTGGCAAGCCTGGATGAAAAACACCTTGGGTTTGCCAGCAAGAGAAGGACAATTAGATCCACTGAAACAGGAGACTAAATCTTTAATATTTACAAACTCATCATCAATGCCTTTTATCTTCTGTTTTTCACCGTGGGAAAAAATGAAGCAAACAAAGCAGTCCATGTTTCTGTGATCTCTTTTGCTGTATTCTTTAACTTTCTCATATATTTCTTTTGCTTCCAGATCCATGTGCTCAACTGTCTCAAACTGAAGCCACTGAAAGACCCTCTTCACAGCCTCTGGGAAAAAAAGTCAGAAGGAACTTGTTAAACATAAACAGTGACAAGGAAGATGCTGAAACATCAGCGTCTATGTGGCAGATCAGGTATTAGCAGAAGTGTTCAGATACTACCCATAAACTCACCTGGACTGACTCTTAGTCTGCCAAATTCTACTGGAAAAACCCATGCCTAATTTGCCTCATTTTATCTTTTTAAACACAGCTGGGTTAAGTATCATGCTATCTAAACCAAAGACAGGTTTCAGATTATATGACGTATTGGTACAAATTAGTTAAGTTCACTGTGTTAAAGCAAGCTTTAACTCTGCATTGCATAACAACCTCAAGTGCCAAAGAACAACACTCGGTGAGTTAAAGAAGCCTCACCTCTTTAGAATGACAGATTCTGCCACCCTCAAATTAAATAGGTCTCTCATTCTGTGAAAATGATCAATGCAGCAAGAAGGAAGGCAGAGTAACCTGCTCACAAATGCTCTGAAGACTTCTCAGCAAATGGTGACTTAATTGTCATGTGAGCTGTGAGAAAGTAGCTGGGAGGGAAGCAGCCTGTAGATGGGCTGGATGGAGTTAAAATATCCTTGATGTGTCCTCTCATGAAACAGATTTTACTTTTTTAAGACAAACTCTTAGAAATGACTTGCAGGAAGACAGGCTTTAAGGAAAATTACAGAGCATTTATTTGAGCTTTGAAGAGAATTTAAGGACTTAAAAATATTTTCCTATGATAGCTAAGAATTAAAAACAATCAAAAAGTGAAAAGGTGGAACAGTAATCCCTCCTCCACTGCTTGGTACATATGACCAATTAACACAATGCTTTTTACCTACAACAAAACCCAGCATATCTTCAATTTCTACAGTGACTGCCACTTCAGTTACTCTGCAGGCCAAGGAGTACAGTGGACATGATTCTTCTTCACAGGAAAGAATAGAAAATTGTCTTTGAGAATTATAAGAGAAAAAACAAATCAGTAATTGCATTAAAGAAGTGCTTACCTCCATCTTTCACTGTTCCTTTTCTGTTGTATTTGGGATTGTTGAAAATGTAGTTGTTAAGGATCACACAGTAACCATGGGGGATATTTTTCATCTTATATGTTTCCACAGGCTGTAGAAACAAAAAATCAGGTAAGAAAGCAATGTCAAGCATTCAAAAGAGAAATACACTATGCACAGATTGTTGGTCCTTCATTACCCAAGGACAAAAATCATAAGGGCTGAAAAACAAGAAAGGAAAAGCCTAAGAATACAATCTTGCTACAGAAGAGAGGAATTTGCATTGTCTCCCTGAATCCCTCCTCCACTCCCTCTGTGGTGAGGATATGATTTTGATATGGGAACAGGTGAGTATGCAGAAACACAGATTTGCATGTGCAAAGGAAAAATTCCTGCACCCTACCATTCCCTCTGGTGGTCCTCGTGAAATTCTAGTGAGGTAGCAAGTTCTGCTGTTCCCTTCCCATCTGTCCAGGAATATCCCATCCAGGACTTTAATGTCCCCATCTCCATTATCATTAAGATTGGTTTTCTCCACACAACAGCTTCATCTATTACTTAGAATGTTGCTGACAGCCCTGTCCCCAGAAAGGAAGAGGTCTTGGTCTTGTCTGGAAAACAGGAATTGTTGCAAGGCCTACATTTAAAGCCAGGACCCCTCCCTCTCAGCTGTTCCACCTGCTCAGTCTTCCAAATTTATGTTCCCTCTCCCAGAAGTTTGGATAAATACTTTAAAGGTAATCTTCAAGCATTTCTCACCAGGTTTGTTGTCTTCCCCTCTGCTCCTTGTTCCCCTGGATGCACAGAGACAGGCACAGGATAGCGGAGTTCTTCTTTAGAATAAATGTGTTAGAAGGAGAATATAAACAGAATGTTTCAGGACAAAAAAGGTAAATCTTCCACTGTGCATATTTCAACACTCAAAAATCAGTACAAGCAGCAAGATGGAGCGTGGTTTGCACACCATCATTTTGCAGAGCTGGGCCAAGCACAGTTCCAGTTTCACAGAGTCCTGGTTATTACAGAAGCTGTGAAGAGCTGTGCTCCATTTCCTCTCTGCTCTTTTACTGGTAGCAAGACACAGATAATAAAAGGCTGAATGTGAATAGTCATCCTAGGCAAGCCATTTCACTAGCATCTCCACTATGGGATACATATGTGAAAGAAGAGACTCATTTTTGTACAATGGTCAATCTATTTCTGAGGCTACTGTCTCTTCCCCAGAGAACTTTACTGTTTGGGTGATGCAAAACGACAGCATGATGGAAGATCTCCTCAAAGCAACAAAACACTTACTTGAATACAACTTTCTGAAAAAAACTTAAGAAATCATCATGGATTTCTTTCAACCCAAGGAAACTAAATCACAGTGCCCCCTTAACAAGTTTTAAAAGGTGTGTTTAAATGAATTTAATTGTGAGGGCAACAAGATCTACACAGCATGGTCTTTTTCTACTTATGAAAGGGGACAAAATAGTAACAAAAAAGCCATTCCCTGACACAGGACTTGATTACTCTCATCACCCTTGGCAATTTCCTTCTGCTGTTTTAGAAACACCAGTAGAGGTCAGCAGCACAAAGACACGCAGGGGAAACTTTTCATCTCTAGACTTCTAACCTGCCAACAACGGAGCCAAAAAAAATCACAAAACACCCCAGCCCTATTATTAAACAGCTGATTAAATAAATTTACCTTTCTTTTTTTCTTCATAGATATCAATTTTTTTCTTTATGTCAGCTCTAAATGCCTTTAATATATCTTTCAGCATTGTCAGGTCATCTTCTTTAATTATCCTATTTCTTTCCATTTCCAGAAAAACCTGCAACATTGACTGGTGGAACAAGAACACATAACCCAAACTCAGTAACTGCAGGCACCTCTGGACAGAGGAGAAGACAAGACCCTCACTCACAGAGCAGCTAAAGAACAATTACTGTATCCTGCCAGCCTCATTAAAAGAAGGGTCAGGATGCAACTGAATAAACCCATCGGTGAGGTTAGGACAGGGTGAATGGAAATTGCCTCTGGCTAGGGTATCCTGCTTTGTTTCAGCAGTACAAAGATGCTGTTAAGTCCTTCAGTGATGCCATTTTACATTTTCTGTTACAGAAAAGGTGTTCAGGGCTAATTTTGTTTGTTAAAGCTCAACAGTCCACAAAGTTGGAAGTAAATCTCGTAATACTCCTCTAGGTGCCACGATACATGAATAGGATTTTTAAGACACCTTCTTAATAATACCAAGCATTTTTATAACACTGGTCATTATTTACAAGTGTTAAACTAGCTCATTAAAACTCTTATTACCTTTGGGAAGAACTTAACAAAATGCCATTACTCCAAATTACAATAAAGAAGAAAATTTACCCAATGACATACAAAAATTTGTGGCTGAACTCACATTAGAGCTCCATTTTCTGTCTCCAAAACACTGTTTTTTCTTTAGCAAACATCACTCTTCTTAGATATAGTAAATGTCATAAATGTCAAGCAAAGATTAAAGGAAGAGCTTGATGGATTTTGTAAGAAGAAAAGATTAGGGAGACAGGTGGTGGAGAGAAAATAAGACCAGGAGAGCAAAAAAGGGCAGAGAAAACATACAATGAAAAAAAAGTAAGAGTCCATTTCTTCGCACAGCAACTATCAGCCAACATCACAATTCTTTCAACAACTGATTTTCATGAGGGCAGACTGCTTCCTCTTTCCTTCCTTCCTACAAGAACTACCACGCTCTGAACTAGCCTTGCAAAAAAACTTCTCAAGATCACTTTTCATACAGCATTATCCTGGAGCTTGTTCTTAGGTAATTGCTTTTGGAGCAGGAACTTCACACTTTTGACATCTTCTGGAGTCAAGTCCTCTGCAATTCCATATAGCAGTTGCCTGACAATAAAGAACAGAGAGACTGTTCAAGAAAGTTTTAAGAAGTAAACACCACAATTACACATTTGAACTGCAAAATGTAAAGCTCGCTCTGGCGGGAATTCATGCTGTGACAATTACGCTGCGATACTCATAGGACAACAGCGGAGACAAAAACCAAGACAGCACACAACCGAACTGCTGTTCATTTTGTGTGCAACATTTTGTGTTTGCTGCTTCTGTGCTTACCTGTAAGCTGACACCTTTGCCCTGCCTTGGACCTGCAGGTCTCTCTCCATCTGCTCCCGGCTGGAACCCAGGTGGGCAGCCAGGAGGTCGATCCTGCCGATGCGGTAGAGCAGCTCCCGCAGAAAGGCCAGGTCCCCTGCCTCGATCATGTCCTTCTCCTGCAGCACTTCGAAGAAGGCCTTGGGTTCCTGAATGGCTTCCAGCTTCCTCATGGGAACATGATCCAGGCTGAGGAACTTCAGTGCTGCCAGTTCATCTGTGACCAAAGCCTCGGACACCTCAAAAAGGAGTTTGTGGAAGTCTGTATTCATTTCACATCAGGATTTGGATCTAAATACAAACAGCAGTTGATTTCATTGGTCAGTGACAGTAGTGCAATAACATCGATTTATATAAAAGGTATCGCATGATGTAGAATAGCCCAGAATAAATACATGCAATCAGAAGTACTTCAGTAGAGAGAGGCTGTCTTTGCTATCACAGCTTTGATGCTTAGCTCTTTTGGTTCTTTGGACTTAACAAGGAGTATTAAAACCTCTGTACTAAGTGACATTAACAGAGGAAGTCATGGATTGTTCTTGCTTCCTATGATATGTCTAGTCAGTAGGGAGTACCAATGAACAGGATGTACAATCCTGGCAGGCTGCTGCTCTTTCTGTTTGGGCTTGGGGTGTTTTTTTTTAGATTTGATCACATTTGGGAGAAACAGCCACTTGCCAGTCTGAAATACAGACTATGTAATAAATGAGACTGCCAAGTTTTACACCATAACAAAGGTTTTACATGGTAACAAAACTAAAGAGTCCACAGGAATATAACTGCTCTAAGTTATCTGGCTTCTCCTTTCTTCTTACACTGCTTCTGATGATGGGCAGCATACCCAAAACACCTCTTCCTGTTTTGGTTTATCTGCATCAAATAAAAGTCAGCTCCCAGCTCTCAATCAATTTGTAGTATTAAATACAGATCACGTCAACCCTTTCAAAAAGGCCAGAAGAATTCTTATCAAACTACCTTTGTTTCACTGAGCACAAAATACCACCTCCCTTCCCCTCCACTTCCTCCATTAGCCTTAGAAATATTAAACTTGGCTTATGGATTCAACTTTGAGCACAAGTTAGAAAATACCAACTGCAAGCCTTGCAACTGTCTCACCCTGACACTTACAAGACCTGCCTCTGCTGATGTCACGACCCAGAGGTAGGGCGTGATGTTTGTTATAAATTCTCATCAGGCTGAACAAAGATACCAGACACGTGTCAAGAACTCACTGTTTTATTGTACCATCTTCTTAGCTGTGGCAACCAGCCCACTATTTAGACTCATGAGGTATTGGCTAACACACCCTTAAATTTACATAGTACACTTCCACAAAAGTGGAGGCTAACAAGCCCTTAGTTTTGTACAGGACACTCCACAACTCTCACACCAAACTCCTCAAAAGGTGCTGGCACTTCACTACAACATCATCACTCAAAGGTGCTGGTTCACAAACCACAAAGGTACTGGTTCAAAAGGAACAAACACCTCCACAGTCCCTCCCTTCCCACAACAAACTTCAAAACTGAGTATGGGGTAGAATGTGCTAGCCCTGCTTTGCCCAGGCACAAGGAAGAAAACAAAGAATATCACCGGTCCTTAGATCCTGCATTGGTGCTGCCACGTGGATGGTGTGGAGCTGGGGAAAGAGAGCCAGAGAAAAGAGAGGAAAAAAGTGGGGGGGGCCTCAATCCACACCCTGTTGTAGTTAACGTGGTGCATGCCTCTTATCTAAATTAGACTTTTGGAGCATTTTGTTCCTGTGTGAGCAGCCAGCCCTTCCCCAGGAAGTGAGCTGCAGTGGGTGACTGGGCACGAGTCTCAGGGCGGAGCAGGGAGCTGGCCCAGAACAGCACCGCGCCACCTCCACGGACCCTCTCCTCCGATCACACCTCTCCTGCAGCAATACTCACAAATTCTGTTTGAGACAAACCTGCTTCTCTACAGCTCATACTTAAAGCACCTGCCTCCACTTCCCTCTAGCAAGAGAACCGTGTACCACTTTATTCTCTCTGCCTTAAATAGAAGACACCTGGGAATCTCGGAAGAGAAACTCAATAGAAATGCCTTCAGAAGAGGTCTCCTGTCCCATTGACAGACACTGTCCCTGGGAGACAGAAAAGTTGACAAAGGCAAATGAAAACTTTCTACTCCTACACTACTGGAATACTATGCAATCCATTTATAATATTGCTAATAAACACAAATGTTTCCATACCAGGGCTGGTAATCCCAGCTGACCAACTGGTAATAATAATTAGAAGACAATTGTATTCCGCTCTCCTCCAAGGACCACTCTACAGCTAAACAGCTTTTTGTGGCATGCCCTTGGTCAGTATTCTGTTGGTTAGCAAGAGTACAACTGAATCTTAAACCTTTGTATTTATAAAAACAATAAACCAGCAAAATGTGTTATGACACAGCACATACGATTCACTCCCTGCCCCCAAATACTGTTTTCTTTAAATCCATTAAATTCATTTACATCCACTAAAACTGAACTTTTAAACAGACTAGAATCCACACCGTTCAGCCCATATCACCACAAAACCACTAGTATCTGAATTGTGCTACTCACAGTTCAGTGATTTCAGATCTGACTTTATATTTCTGTATTCACACAGGAAGGAGAAGAGTACTTGCTTGGTAGCTAGTTAGGTAGTTGTCTTCTTTCTCACATAAATCATGCTTTTTGTTTAAGATACAAGGTGTATGCTTACAAACTCAAATCTTTCTTGTAAAGGGAATTTCCATTTTTATTTCTCAAAGGCTGTAAGTTTCAAACCCATCCAATTATTGCAGTTAGAACAGATGTGCCACCTATATACTGTATTTCAGCTTGTCTATAATTACAGGGAGGACAACTAAAACAATGTTTAACTGCCACTGTCTTTTTCTCCCACTTTACTAAATTGAAGATACAACTAATACAACATGCAAATTGAATAATAATAGTAATTTTACATCACTTACATGGGAGGATAGGCTGGAGGAGTGCTGGAACAACTCTGAAAAAAGTGAGACAGGCATAGTCTCTGAAGTTCCAGGAAAAGTATGATATCGATATTGTCACATGACTTACAAGAAGTACGTTAAAACAAATAACCTGGTAATAAAGCAGCAGATCTCTACTCCACCCATCGCAATTCCAGTTTCAGAAAATTGATTATTGCAGAACTTGTGAGAAAAAATTGTAAGTAAGCCATAAAAGTAATCAGGTTTTGCTTTTTAGGGGGACACACTGAGCAGCATTCCTAGTGCTTTCTAGCATACAGCACAGCTCAGTACTTTTGATCTCTTACAAAAATCCTAATTAAGAGACAGTGAGGGAAGGGTGAATCAATTATATCTTTTAATTTAAGAAGTCTCAGACCCACTGCCCTGCTGGGTCACCAGATGTGCCATGAATTACCTCCTTTCTCTGAAGTCCCTCTCCAACTCACCCTAGCCTATCTTCAACAGGAAAATTATTTCCCAGATTAAAAAGAGTCAACATTTCGCACCAAATTCAGTAGTAGTACTCAGTAAATACAGGGGACTCGACGACTAAACATTCTTTTGAAATTATTTATGCAATATACTTCCCCATTTACAGGAGAATTTAAGCAATAATTAACTTTTGACATTATCACCTTCTGAAGTGGAAAGGTTCCCAGCATGCTAGTCACCATGCAGCAGGAAATAGGTGAACAGCTACCAGGCTCCCAGAAAATTGTGAAGTCAGCATTATGAAGAGAGACAATTAGGAGACTAGGAATTTGTTAAAATTTTGCAATGAAAACAGTCATTCATTGACTTCAACCTATCCACCCTTACAAATTCAAAATTATAACATACCTTTTGATAGAATGAGGCACACAAATTCCTTCCAAAAGGCTTAGGGCGGTAACAGATCAGAAAACCCATCCGACTTGTTTCACTGGTTCAAGTTATGCCTTTACCCAAAGTGCCACCACAAGTATGATTTCATCTTCAGGTCCAAAATATTTCTGTCTCCATGTCATCTCAAGTCTCAGCAAACCTTTCCCTGGATTAGCTCTTCTGTGTCTTACCTGAATCAAGAGTTCAGCTGCAGTCTGAAAGAGCCACTATGCCGTGATCTGCACTGTGTGACAAATACTTGGTAGTGTCCTCTCCCTTCATACAGCACTTTAAAGGACAACCCCTTCCGGTACCGTTCTGTCTTTATTAGTTTTACTTTTGATTTCTTCCTTTCTCACCCTTCCTGGAAACGTTCCCGTCCTTTTGTTAAATTACAGCCTCTCTAATTTCCCTCAGCTCCCCTGCACCCTGGTTTTGTCCCTCTGGCTTTCTGTAGAACTGTCTCAGTGACCCAACCTTTTCCTTGTACAGCCTGCCGAACGTTCACCTCGCCTAGAAAGGGTGGTCTTGAGGAAGTGAAACTGCTGAGGTTACTGACTGCTCAGCAACTGCAGTGACTGTGGCCTCCACTGGCACCCAACAGGATACACACAGCTCCTGCACACAAACCCACAGGACGGACGGGCCACCAGAAACTTGCGGATGTTACAAATCCCATTTCAAGATTCTGGTCTTCCCAAGACTTCCCAACTTCCCCAGAAGACTCTTTTTACACTAGTTTCACTTAAATCTGTCTAAACAAGGGCTGCACAAGACACAATCCTTCCTTATTTCTGTAGATAGAGAGCACACACACGTGCATATGTTTTTGTGTGAGTGAGTCTCAGCAGCAACCAACCATGTTTGTTTGCTTGTTTTCTCTTATTTGTGGCATAAATGTGACTTCCAGTGTGGCAGCTGTACAAACTCAGAACACATAAAATGCAATGAGTCATACTAACCTGTTCAGACCTGTTCATCACGATAAGAAGCAACCATTTCAAACTGCATTTCAGTGCTGTGTGACGCAACACTCCCCACCTAAAAATAGCGCAAGCTAGAAATTGTACCCAACAGCACCAAGGAGTACTCTTTCAAATCTTCCCCCTAATGTATGGCTAGTAACCATATATAGTGAGTGCTTTGCTGAAATTAGCTAAGCTTCACTTCAGCTGAAACCCTGAAGCACTGAAAACCCCACTGATTTATACAGCCCAACAAAGTGCAGGGGCCAGTCAGAAACACAGAGAAGCCTTACCCCAATGCATAATTTTCATCTCACCAAGCTCTCAGAACTAAGAATTGAATGCAGTCATAAACAGGAAGGACACAGGTATACATAGTAAATGCTCATAACAAAACAACACGGTGTTATTTCAGTTAACTCACAAAATTCTGTTAGAAGCTTAATCAGCAAGGAGCCTTGTTTCTCACATGGCTGCACTTTAGATCTTAAACTGAGGAACAGTAATCAAAAAATGTAATACTTAACAAAGTTAATCAATCTGATAAACCTATGGAGATACACTGCTGAATGGTGTATTTCATAGCATGCCGGTCTTCTACCCTAAATTTTCTTCTCGGAAGGGATGGGGAAGTAACAGTTCACAAGGTTTCACAGAGGGAATAATATGCAGCATTTTGGCTTTACTCAGTTTTGGAAAGATCTCATTGCACATGAAGTTTATGACAGGCATTTGACAGTAACAGTGTGCACTGTGGGACAAATTCCTGAATTCATTTGGTAACTGGTCCTCTTAAATGCCATTTACATTAGAGACTGAAGAAATCCTTTTCCACTTACTACCTAGGCTTTTACCTCTTCATTCCCACTTTTCTCTCTCTCCATGAATACTGCTAGTGGATTTAGAAGCAGGATTGTGGGGTTGACCGTGCCTGGACGCCAGGTGCCCTTCCCAGCTGGACAGAGGAGAGAGAATAAAATGGAAGACAACTCGTGGGCTGGGATAAGCCAGTTTACTAAGGCTAAAGCAAAGCAGAAGCTTGCACGTGCAAAAGTGAAGCAAAAAATATCAAGGTTCATTCTCTCCTTCCCATGAGCAGTGATGTCTGGCCACTTCCAAGAGGCAGGGCTTCAGCACATGTAATGGTTCCTTAGCAGGCAGCCATTGGAGACAACGAATGTCTCCCTTCCTGCTCTTTGCCTTAGCCTTTATATCTGAGCTGATGTCATATGGTATGGAATATCCCTTTGGTCAGTTTGGGTCAGCTGGCCTGGTTGTGTCCCCTCCCAGAGTCCTGCCCTGGATGGAGGAAGGAATGTTACAGCTCTGATGCTGTGCCCAGCAGTAGCCAAAACACCGGTGTGTCATCAACACCTTTCTGGCTCCCGATGCAAAGCACAGCACTGTGAGGGCTGCTGTGGGGAAATGAACTCCAGCTCAGCCAGAGCCAATACAAGAATTTAAAATTGTTAGCCTGCAAAATAAAATATGATGAGCCTAAACCAGACCATTAACAGTCCTGGTTTAGACATGGAAGGTAACATGCATCCCCTATGCTGCCAGAAAAACCCTTTTCTGTCTGCAGCCTGTGCAGGTACAAAAATGTTGAACATGACAGAAGTATGTTTTGCCCAACCCTTATAACTCTGAATATACAGATGATGTCAATACCTGGCACGTGGATTAACAGTGTCTCCTCCAGTTTCACAGTTCATTTGACAAAAAATTTATGAGGCGTTGCCTTGAAGCTAACAGATCCACAGGATTCTGGGTAAGTCTTACAATAGGCAGTGTGATGAACTGCATTTAAATAAGATGATAAAATCATATGCTTTAAAAGCCCTGATATTGCTCTGAAGGAGGAGGGTCTCTAGGTATTGGGAATGTAAATCTTCTTCTTAAGGTAGATGGTGTTTGGAGTATCTGCTTTGTCCCCATGTGGTTAACATGACTGGCCACATCCCAACTAACTTCTGCAAGAATTGACACAATATCTTTACCTCTACAGATAGAAGGAGAGAATAAAAAAATTACTTATTAGTGAGCAGATGGCAATCCATTTAACACCTCCTTGATCAGCTAGGAAATACACTATGGACATTTAAACACAAAAAAAGAAAACTCATCCTTTTCTCGAAATTTCTCCTCTTCTGTTTTCATTTGAGCCACATGAAAAACAAAAGACCTTTTCTTGCTTTGTCTTCCTTGATTTAACCAGTAAATAAAATATTTTTACCTAAATCCATTCAAAAACCAGCTCTGCCTTAAAGGTTATAGATGGGAGGCTTTGAGGGTTTTTTTTACAATGAACTTCATATTCTTCAGATTATCTTTATGATACTAGCAGTGTTAATGTAAATTTATCAGCGTAAAATCATCAGTTTAACTAATTTTGTCCACCTTAGAACATGGATCAGTGTTCCTATGTGAACTGCCTTTGGACAAAAACAATTTAATCAGAGTATTAAGCCAAGTATTCACTTGGTACCAACAACTGTTTTTTAGAGACCAGCAGTGAATACCTGGAGTAGGTGATTCATACTGATCCACTAGAAAAGGATGCAAGTAGAACAGAAGAGACCCCAAAAGTGCATACCACGCTACCAGTTTTTTTGCTAAGACTTAAAAGTTATCTCCTACTCTTTAAAAAGAACCTTTTTAAAGCTGAAAAGTCATCAAAACCTCAAGTACCATGTATTTGGGTTGAAATCAAAAACTCCATTTACTCCAGTTCCTTTCTGCTCACTCCAAAGCAGCATACAGCTGCTTTTGTGCATTTTAGTAGGACAAAAAGAAGGCAGCACTCCAAGCTCCTTCAACAGCAGCAAGCAGTACTTTTGCTACAGCACTCTGAACATCAGGTGATGAAACATGCTGAGATATACTGAAGTATGTTGAAATATGATATGTTATAGCACAGAAGTTCAAGAAATTAAAATAGCTATAAACAAATGGAACAGTTTGCTCCCTCAATATCCAGTCACCACAAGGAAAAGGCCAGAGGGAGAATTCAATGCATACACAGCTGTACTAGGTTAAAGAGTGCACATAAGGTTTCTAAGAAGGGAGCTCACAAAAGGGACCTTTTCTTGTGTACCAAGACCTCTGCAATAGCTTACTAAAAACTCTTGCCTTCCTTTAATCCTTCTAACAAGGTCTTTGCATGCTACCCCTTACTGCTTTTAATTTCAAGATGCCCTGAGGCCTTTTCTAAGTCAGATTCAAAAAGTGAGAAGTGTGAAGCTCCATTTGTCTCTGTATCCCACACATTCTGCTGCCATCTTCAAAATGCAAACCTAAAAACTGCCACATGTTTACCAGGTCCTTCAGTGCCTTTTGGATGGTAGGCCTTCAATCTTTTGTTTAGAGCAGCTGGAAGCCAATGTTTCTACATGAGGGAGCACAAGAAGAAGATCAGAAAAGCAGACTAGAGCCTATGCATCCAAAGCCTTTGAAGCATCTGGGAGGACAGCTCAGCAGATGAACCACAGATGATATTGTAGCATGTAGGGGCACAGAAGAATAGACCACGGTATTTTTGCATGCAGAGGCAGATAGAAAATATAATCCCCAAGTACAGATGCCAAGTTAGCAAAACAAGGTTTGACAGAACCCAGGAATCCTGAACTGTGTCCTGTCCCTAAGTCACAAGACAGAACCTGTGCATAAAACCAAAAGAACAGGTCAGATTGCTTTTTCCTGCATTCAAACTTACTCTCTCACACCTCAATAACTGTTCTTCGCATTCCTTCTCATATGAAATCCCATGGATTGTGACACCCTTTTCACTTAAGCTGCTATCAAAAAGGTTCTCCTCTCAGCCTGATATCTACACATAGCTAAACTAATTTGAAGTCTGACATAATTTCAATCTAGATATTTAACTCAACCACATTTAACAGAATAACTTAGATTAAACCGATTCTGTCTAAACTAACAAACCTATATAATTTCTAACTGAATTATGACAATTCAGAATTTAGAGCCAATGATTTCAACTTAAAGATTTAAAAAAAAAAATCATTGCTTTAGAACAGGGACAAGTTGTGAATACACTGGCTGTACACAGTCATTTCATCAGCAAATCAAGCTGAAGCAAGATCCCAGAATCATAGAATGGGTTGGAAGGGACCTTAAAGATCATCTAGTTCCAATGCCGTGCCATAGGCAGGGATGCCACTCAGTGGATCAAGTTGCTGGAAGCCCCATCCAACCTGTCCTTGAACACTTTCAGGAATGGGGCACCCACAACTTCTCTTTGTTGTAAAAGGACAGAAGATGGCAGCAAAACACCATAAATTGTAATAGCAAAACAAATACGGGAATAGGTGTGTTTATGCAAAATATTTTAAAAAAAAATTGGAAAATACAGGTGATCTGAAGTTAACTAAACATCAGGAGTACTTACAGAAGGAAAATCCTCGGTGCAACCTCAGCGCTGCTAATACAGAATCCTTGCTTAGCTCCTCCAACAGGTCCATGTCTTTCCTGTGCTGAGGACCCCAGAGCTGGACGCAGCACTCCAGGTAGAGTCTCACCAAGGGCAGAGGGGGAGAATCCCCTCCCTCGACCTGCTGGCCTCTCCCCTTTTGGTGCACCTCAGGACGGGGATGGTCTTTTGGGCTGTCCAGCTTTTCATCGACGAGAACGTGCAAGTCCTTCTCTGCAGAGCTGCTCTCAATGACTTCTTCTCCCAGTAGGTACTCGTATCTGGGCTTGCCCTGACCCAGGTGCAACTGATCCAGCCCAAGGGACCTTGATCCGGCTCAAACTCCTTCATCTACCTTTAAAA